AAAGTTCTTTGCTTTAAGGATGTTGAATATTGGCCTCCACTCTCTTCTGGCTTGTAGAGTTTCTGCCGAGAGATCTGCTGTGAGTCTGATGGGCTTCCCTTTGTGGGTGACCCGACCTTTCTTTCTGGCTGCCCTTAGTATTTTCTCCTTTATTTCAACCCTGGTGAATCTGACGATTATGTGTCTTGGGGTTGCTCTTCTTACGGAATATCTTTGAGGTGTTCTCTGTATTTCCTGGACTTGAATAATGGCCTGCCTTGCTAGGTTGGGGAAATTTTCCTGGATAATATCCTGAAAAGTATTTTCTAGCTTGGATTCATTCTCTTTGTCACATTCTGGTACACCTACCAAACGTAGGTTAGGTCTCTTCACATAGTCCCACATTTCTTGGAGACTTTGTTCATTCCTTTTTGCACTTTTTTCTCTAATCTTGGTTTCTCATTTTATTTCATTGAGTTGATCTTTGACTTCTGATATCCTTTCTTCTGCTTGGTCAATTCAGCTGTTGAAACTTGTGCATGCTTCGCGAAGTTCTTGTGTTGTGTTTTTCAGCTCCTTCAATTCATTCATATTCCTCTCTAAGTTGTCCATTCTTGTTATCATTTCCTCGAATCTTTTTTCACATCTTTTTTCAAGGTTCTTAGTTTCTTTGCATTGATTTAGAACATGTTCTTTTAGCTCATGGAAGTTTCTCATTATCCACCTTCTGAAGTCTGATTCCGTCATTTCATCACACTCATTCTCCATCCAGCTTTGTTCCCTTGCTGGTGAGGAGTTTTGGTCCTTTATAGGATGCGAGGTGTTTTGGTTTCGGGTGTTTTCCTCCTTTTCGCGCTGGTTTCTTCCCATCTTGTGGGTTTATCCACCCGTCATCTGAGTAGTTGCTGACTTTTCGATTGGGTCTTTGAGTGGATGCCCAGATTGTTGGTGATGAAGTATTTCTGTTACTTAGTTTTCCTTCTAACAGTCTGGCCCCTCTGTTGTATGACTGCTGAGGTCCACTCCAGGTCCTGCTTGTCTGGGGTGCACCTGTAGCAGTTGCAGAACAGTGAGGGTTGCTACCAGTTTCTTCTTCTCCTATCTTTGTCCCAGAATGATGCCCGCCAAATGTCAGTCTGACCAGTCCTTTTTGAGGTGACTCTTTGGATATATAGGGGTCAGGAAGCTGCTTGAGGAGGTGGTCTGTACTTTATAGGAGTTCAAATGCTGAGCTGTGAGCTCCATTGATCATTCAGGGCTGTTAGGCTGGTACGTTTAAGTATGCTGCAGCAGAACTCATAACCCCCCTTTTTTTCCTCAGATGCTCTGTCTTGGGGAGTTAGGGCTTTCTTTATGAGTATCTGTTGCCTCCCAGCTAGGAGGCAGTCTAGTCACTATTTGCCTGCTGAGGCTCCGCCCTGCTGCTGTGGGGTCCGCCCTGTTTCTATGGGCTCTACCCTGCTGCTGTGGGCTCTGCCCTGCTGTCATGGGCTCCACCCTGCTGTCATGGGCTCCGCCCTGTTGCCATGGGCTCTGCCCTGCTGTCATGGGTTCCACCCTGTTGGCGGAGTCTCTCTGTTAGGGCGGGTTGCCTTCAGCAATGGCAGGCTGCGTCAGCAATGGGAGTGTACCTCAGTAGGGGCGGAATGCCATGGTAATGGTGGATGCCCCTCCCCCACCGAGCTGCACCATCCTGGGTTCAGCTGTGTCCTCAGTGAAACTCTCAACCCTGAGCGTTTTGAATCGCCATTTTGTTTGTCCCTGTGGGGGTGGGACCCGCCGAGCCTGATCACCTGGCTCCCTGCCTCAGAGCCCTTTTTTTAAGTTTAATGGTTGACTCTCTCCCAGGTGTTTCAGTCGCCTGCTGATAGGGCACTGGGATCTGTGTGATTTCTTGTGCAGCGACCCACTGTGCCAGCTCAAACGTTGCTTCCCGGGAATCTCCAGGTCTGGCTCACTGTCCAAGTCCCGTTTAATCACATGGATATGCTAATCTGCCCTCCCAAATCTCAGATCGCCAGTTTAACAGGGCACCCAGACCAGTGCGTTTTGTGCAGAGTTCCACTGCACTGTGGCACCAGCTGAAATGACCGTGTGAGCTGAAACAGCTGTGCTGGCATCCCGTGTCTCTCCTACACCTGGGAATTTCCCCATTCTGTGGGCAACAAAGATCCGTCTGGAAATGTGGATTGCACTCACCCTCTGCATCTTCACTGAGAGCTGCAATCCTGATTTGCTCCTACTGCACCATCTTCTTTTTCCCCATCCTCTCCTTGATTGTTTTCTCTTTGGGCCCTCTCCATCATAAGGGGAGGTCATTATTTTGCTAAGGTTAGAAGGAGAACTAGCTATCTATGGACATTTAAAAAATGTCTATAAAAAAACAAATTAAAAAATATTTAAATGTAATATTCAATTTAGAGCAAGATTTTAAAATATTTGAACACTAAAATCGAAACGGTTACCTTACAAACTCTACCTGATCATCTATAATTTAGTGATTGCTGATGAGTTGAATCGTACTTTCTCAAAGTATCCTTTGGCCCCTTTTCCTTTTCCCAGTCTTGAAAAGCTTTCTAATCATGTAGCCGTGCATGTTCCTAACTGTGCCCCCCGGCTTCTTTCTGCCCTGCTTCTCCACTCTCCCACTCCTCACCTGGCCTATTGGAGATTGTGGGATTTGCAGAAGCTGCATCATGCATCTACATTTTCATGTTCAGTTTTAACACCTAAAATGAGTCTTTTTAATCCCACAGCTCTTTCATTCATCCTGTATTAATGAGTGCCCTTCTCTTTATAACTCCTCACCCTTGTTCCCTTGCTGGAGGAAGGAGCCACCTCTCTGCCTGGGCAGCCAGTTGCAGAAGAATCCCACAGCCACAGTGTATCCTCCTGCTAGCAGCTAAAGCCCCATGGTTAGCTTCTGCGTTAGCAGAAGTTTCCTCATAACCACAAACTCTGCCTCCCTTAAAAAAATGTTTTTTAAATGAATGCATAATAGTTGCATGTATTTATGGGGTACATGAGGGTTTATTTGTTTGTTTTTTGAGATGGAGTCTCACTCTGACTCCCAGACTGGAGGGTGGAGGGCAGTGGCACGATCTTGGCTCACTGCAACCTATGCCTCCTGGGTTCAAGCCATTCTCCTGCCTCACCCTCCTGAGTAGCTGGGACCACAGGCCCCTGCCGCCATGCCCAGCTAATTTTTCTACTTTTAGTAGAGACAGGGCTTCATCATATTGGCCTCAAACTCCTGACCTTAGGTAATCCACCTGCCTCGGCCTCCCAAAGTGCTGGGATTACAGCCATGAGCCACTGCACCCAGCAAGGTTTTTTTTTTGATACATGCATACAATGTGTAATGATTAAATCAGGGTAATTGGAATATTCATCACCTCAAGCGTTTATCATGCTTGTGTTGGGAACATTGGGTACAAAATACAGTCAGACAGAAGGAATAGGTTTTAGGGTTCAATAGCACAGTATAGTTAACAAGAATTTATAGTACAGTTGACCTTTGGACAACGTGGAAGTAGGGGGAGAGCCAGTCCCCTCATGCAGTTGAAAATCTGTGTATAACTTTTGACTTCCCCAAAACTTAGCTACGAATAGCCTACTGTTCACCAGAAGCTTTATTGATAATGTAAAGTCAATTAACACCTATTTTGTATATGTACTGTACACTGTATTCTTACAATAAAGTTAGCTAGAAAAAGAAAATGTCATGAAGAGAATGATAAGGGTGGAGCACAGAGACTCATGCCTTTAATCCTTACACCTTAGGAAGCCAAGATGGGAGACCAGCCTGGGCAATGTAGCAAGACTCCAGCTCTACAAAAAATAGAATAAACAAATTAGCTGGGTGTGGTGGCACACACTTGTAGTCCTAGCTACTTGAGAGGCTGAAGTGAGAGGATCACCAGAGGCCAGAAGTTTGAGGCTGCAGTGAGCTATGATCACACCACTGCACTTGAGCCTGGGCAACAGAGTAAGACCTTATCTCTAAAACAAAAAAGAAAATTACATGGAAGAAAATATATATTTACTATTTATGAAGAGGAAATGGATTATCAGAAAGGTCTTGACCCTTGTCGTCTTCATGTTGAGAACAATCAGGAGGAGGAGGACAAGGAGGGGTTGGTCTTGCTGTCTCAGGGGTGGCTGAGGTGGAATAAAATCTACTTACAAGTGGACCTTCCTTCACAGTTTAACACTTGTTCAAGGGCCAACTGTATATTTCAAAATAGCGAGAAGACAAGATTCAGAATGTTGCTAACATGAGAAAATACTTTCTAGTTTGAAATAATTTTAGACTTACAGAAACATTTGAAAAATATTTCTTAGAATTCCTGTACACTCTTCACTCAGACTCCCCTAACATTAATGTCTCTGTGCCCAGAGTTCAGGGACAAACGCTATGAAATTAGTATTGATACAACACAATACTAAGCAGTAGTCATTATTCATATTTGCCCAGTTTTCCATAGAATGCCCTGTTTTTTGGTCCAGGATCCAATCCAAGATTTCACCTTGCACTTGGTCTTGCCTCCTTGGTCTCCTCCAGCCTCAGATGGCTCTTCAGTCTTTCCTCGTCTCTCATAACCTTGGTGATTTTGAAGAATTATAGGTTTTCCCCTCAATTACAATTCATCTTATGGTTTCTGCTCATTAGATTGAGGTTACGCATTTCTGAAAAGAACACAGAAGCAATGCACCCTCTTCAGTCCATTATATCCAACAGTACATGACATCAATATGTCTCATGATTGATATTAACTTGCCAATGTGGCTAAGGGCAGGTCTGCTGGGCTTCTCCATGCTAAAATTTCTATCTTTTCATTTGTAATTAACAATAATCGGGGAGGTGGGAGATACTCTGAGACTATCCAAATATCCCATTTACCCTGAAACTTTGGCTCAATTGTCTTGACATGCATATGGAGATCATGTCTGCAACAATTACTGTGGTGTTCTAAGAGTGATTTTCAGTGGCAGCTGAAGGCTGGTGAGTCAGAGTCACGATGTTACAGATCCAGGGCCTTGCGCAGAAGCTGGATATTGAGGGAATGAAGTGGAAGGTTTGTGAGGATGTGATCTCCTCCGTACAGAACTTCCTCATCTACGTGGCCCTGCTGCAAATTATTCCTTTTATCTTAAAGAAATTGCACAGTGGACATGGCGCAGTGGCTCATGCCTATAATCCCAGCACTTTGGGAGGCTGAGGCAGGTGGATTACCTGAGGTCAGGAGTTTGAGACCAGCCTGACCAACATGAAGAAACCCCGTCTCTACTAAAAATACAAAATTGTCTGGGCATGACGGAGCATACCTGTAATCCCAGCTACTCAGGAGGCTGAGGCAGGAGAATCGCTTGAACCCTGGAGGCGGAGGTTGAGGTGAGCCAAGATCACACTTCAGCACTTCAGCCTGGGCAATAAGAGCAAAACTCTGTCTCAAAAACAAAAAAAAAAGCACAGCATATGAAGATTGAGTATCACATGTGAATACATAAATGCAGAACTTGGTTGCAGTTTCTATAACTCTCTGCAAGCAAATAGGCCCAGAAAACTGCAAGAAACTCTATAATGTTTGGACATAAAAATTCTGCTTGTTAAGAACAAGTTTGGCTCAGCGAAACTTGTTCTCAGCTAAAATATAAAACTAGTTATGGCCAAAATATAAAACTATTTGAGAAGTATGAAAAGACATCTTGTGGTCAGAGTGTGCCCTTATGCTTATGACATTTGGCCTCTGTCATGTTGGTATAATTGTAAATAATGTCAAACTCCATTTTCTAGCATGTATTAATAATTAAGGGAATTATGTCTGAATGGCACTGTCTTGTCAGTCCTTTCTGTTTACCTTTTTACTTCTGTATGAAGTGCATTTGCAAAGTCCCTTATAATTAATTATGTTTTATGGAAGTCAGCATACAACCACAATGATATTTAAACACAGGATCATTAGTCTATGCTTTTAATGAATGCACCAATTAAGAAAAAAAAAAAACACTGCTGGGAGTGGTGGCTCATGCCTGCAATCTCAGTACATTAGGAGGCCAAGGTGGGTGGATCACCTGAGGTCAGGAGTTCAAGACCAGCCTGGCCAATATGATGAAACTCTGTCTCTACTAAAAATACAAAAAATTAGTCAAGCATGGTGGTGCACACCTGTAATTTCAGCTACATGAGAGGCTGAGGCAGGAGAATCTCCTGAACCCAGGAGGCAGTGGTTGCAGTGAGCTGAGATCATGCCATTGTACTCCAGCTTGGACAAGAGTGAAACTCTGTCTCAAAAACAAAACAAAACAAACAAAAAAAAACAACTAACCAAAAAACAAAAACAAACAACAACAACAAAACCCACAAAGAATGTTTTTCTCTTTCCTTTTTTCCTTCTTATTGCTTCTAATTGACTAATTGGAATTCTGTAAGGAAGAGCTGACTTCTTTCTCTAATACTTATTCCTTGAATTAGGTATTTATCAGCTTAGGTTCCTGAATATCAACTTTATTTTGTGGGTTATAATTTTGTTGCTTAAATTATTTCAGCTTTGGTCATTGGTTGCTCCCTCAACAAGTGTCAGTATACTTTTGAGATATCTCATCCTTTTTTGAGCATTCCCTTATTTTTTGGCATTTCAAACCACTCCAGACACATTCTATTGTATTTCCCCTGCCCCTGCTCTGGAATCAGCCACTTCTCCATGGATTCTTGGTTCTTTTTATTGAAGAGTGGTATTTAGAAACCAAGATCTGGACGCTAGATGTGTTCATTGCTACAGAAGTGTCAATGCTTTCAGGCCATTTAAACAAACACAGCTAGGAAATAAATGCATGTGTACAAATCCATGCATATACACATTGATATTTATCCCCCTATTAATATTTCTATTTAAAAAGCATGAGTTCATGCTGATTCCTTCTATAAATCCAGCACCATAGAATTTATTCTAGCCTTTTCCCTTTCTTTCCTTGTAATCTTTGTAAAAAATATTGCTGTAACTAATCCGTGTTGCCTCTTCTTCCTGTTCAGAAGTTTAGGTTTGTGTTGTATTGGTAAAATATATGCCCAGTTATTTCCTTTGTAAACATTAAATTATCTCTATGTTCTTTTAAAAGCTTGGAGTTATGAAAGCCTAAAATTCAAGTTCATTAAGCACATAAACTTTAAGATACATTTTAAGAAGCATAAAATACAGTTTCCAAGTAGTTTTTTCACAATATTTTCAGTGTATATTTGCCCCTAAAATCACTTTTTATAAGAATAATAGAGAGAACAAGAAAAATAACCTAATATAACATATTGATTGTGTCTTTCTCTGATCTGTTCTGTCTCACTCCTAACTAAGCTACCAATAGTGGCAGGCCTAAAAAGTCATTTCAGGAGATTTTATGTTCCCCTTATGTCCTCTAAAAACCAACCCAGATAAACATAAGTTCTAAGTAAAAACATTGTTCCTTGGATTCAAACTCAAGATGACAGAATAAACTGCTGCAGGAAGCCTCTCTCCTGACTCCATAGATTTATTCTTAAAATATGTTTAAAGCTGAAAGCATGTAAAAATGCTGCCAGCTACCAGAAAAAAACAGAAAATCTACTTCACCAAGCAAGAGACAAAATTGTGTGGCACATAAATGTAACTAAACTGGAAATACATTACACGAGCTGGGGTTGTGACGCTACCGATTAGGGTCAAAGTTTTAGGAACACCTGAAACTAGGCTATTCCATGGAGCCTGGAACCAAAACAAAAATGTAATTTTGTATATGAATTGAGACTAGGAAAACTTTGAATATGACCTATGATACAATCAGGAAGCAGGTCTCTGGCCCCGGGCTATGGGTAAAAATTAAATCAACTGTTAGAAACTGGAAGCCATAACTTCTGCTGAGTGTTGAAGTGTGGCTAGAATTCTTAGCACTGCCTATGCAGGTTCAAAGTCTCTAACAGAAAGAGATTCCAGTTCTGGTACAGTTTCAGAGGCAATGGGGAAACAGTTCTATAGGAAGCCCTAAGCAACTCAGGTACCTATGAGACCTTTGCAAAAGGTATTCCTATTAAAGATGAGTTCACAGGCCAAAATTACAAGGGAGATAAGGAATTCAAATCAAACACTGATACAACAATGTTAACTAAACTGCACAATAAATGGGAAAAAACATACAAAGAACCATGGATAACAGAGCAATCAGAAAATAACTTTTAAACAAGGAAGGAGTAGAATATAATAGAATATACAAAGGAAAAGAAGATTGGACTTGGAGATTAGCCAAGTAGAAATTCTAGAAAGAGAAATTGTATAGCCACTTAATCAATAATCTTTCATAGAGAGGCTGAACAATAGTTTACATGGAACTAGGAGATAATTGGTTAATTAGAAAGTATAGCTTAATCAATTATCCAAAAATAGAATAAGATATATATATATGCATATATTAAGATATATAAAATACAGAAATGAAGATTAAAGATGTGGAGGATAGAAAGAGAAGCCCCAGTATAATTCATGGGAATTCTAGGAGGAGAAAACAGAGATAAATAGGAGAAGTGAGGGTCAAGTAGAAAATAGCTGAGATTCTAGACCTCAAGACAAGACTCCTTATCTCAAAAGTTGTGCCAAATTCCAAGGGAAACAGACTAACAAGCAGAATAATACAGATGAAGTTATGGAAAGCCAAGGGGGAAAAAAATCTTAAAATTTACTGAGGAAAAAACTAGTGAAAAAAGTTTTGAAGAAAGCGACAATCAGATTCCTCATTAGCAATTGCAAATGTCAGGAAACAACAGAATGATATCTTCAAAGGGATAAGAAAGATAATTGAAAACTTAAACTTCTGTAACTAGCAAGTCCATCATTCAAGAGGGAGGGTAAATTAATACATTTCAGATGAATAAAATCTAACAGACTTGACTATCACTGAATTCTTGCTCAAAGAACTATTAAAGGTTGTACTTTATCAAGAAGAGATGTGAACCCACAAAACAGTCTGCCGGTAGATTCACATAAAATTGGCTCTTAAACTTTTAATCATAATGCACTTTGGAGGGAAAGTTTAACAAATGGTGAAATTTTAATAACACAGGATGGAAGGGGCTTAGATGTCCTTGCCTTTTTGGGAAATAAGACAAACATATCAATTAGCTTGTTGCTTTATTTAAAATATAAATTTGTGAATACATGTCAAAAGTATAGTAACTATGAAAAGAATAGAGACTAAACACTTAACCTCAAAAATTATAGAAGAAAATTTGAAGTAATAGAAGGCAAGAAAAAAGAACAAAAAAGAATAAAAGAAAAAAGGCATAGTAAATGGAAAACAAGAGTAGGTCTGTAGAATGAAAAAATATTAGTTATCCAATAAATGTAAATAAGTTAAACTCATCTATTTCAAAATAAAGACTCTGAAATTGGATAAAAAAGAAAATTGAGCCAACTGATGTTTGCAAGAAACATATCAAAAATTTAATAATCCAGAAGGACCACTACTAATTCAAAGAAAAGTGAAATAGCAAAATTAATATCAAAAAATAGGAGAATAGCACTAATAGGATAAAGGAAGTTATTAATTAAGGATCATAGCAACATTCCAACATGAAGATGTGAAAGTGGTGAATCTGTATACTTTTGAAACACAGCCTAAAGTATAAAAATAAAAATGGACCTAATTTCACAGGGGAATTGACGAACTCACAATGATAGCTGAACATGTTAATGAACATGCCAGACACTTAGTTGCCCTCTTTCTCACTTGCTACTAGAACATTGTTCTCAGGGAATGGGGGAATCACTTGCTCCAGAAGGCCCTGAGTTGGCATTTGGAAGAGGTTCTTACCTAGAATTTCCAAGGCATATTTTTCTTTGTTTCCCAAAAAAACGTGTTTTACATGGACTGTATTGGCTTTTTATGCTGGTTTCTTCCCATCATTGTAAATTTATCCACCTGTCGTCTTTGTAATTACCAACTTTCAAATTAGGTCTCTGAGTGTTTTCAACAAAGAGCAGTTGGAGGTCTGCTTGGAGATCTCTGATGTTTTCCACAGGCACAATGTCCTTATTTGGGAGCCTCCAAACACCAGATTAACATTTCTCAAAGCAGCTTTTGGAAGAGGGCAGGTGTCTGTGACGTTGTGAGGCCAACTGACTTAGCTGAAACCACGGGCCACACCAGGAACAAACCACTGGACCAAATTGAATCAGGACACCTGCTCTGGGACCAGTTACTTCTCATGTCTCCTCCACCACCTCCCACTTCTTCTCTGTTTCCCATCCCATACCAGCTTTGTATTTAAATTTCTGGATAGAGGGATCCAAGATGGCTGATCACTAACATCTCGGGATTGCAGCTTCCAGTGAAAGCGCAGAGAACGAGAGGACGCCACACATTCAGACAAATTTTTGTCGCTCACAGACCAGAAGATTCCCAGTGGAGGAGCCCCACGGGTCACCAGCACGACTCTTGTGGCTGGCACAGTGGTTTTGCCGGCACCTCGGCGCTGCAGCTCTTGGCGCAGAGTAAACAGGACTGGTTCCCCTTCTGACTGAGGTTTGGAACTCCGGGAAGGCAGAGTCACCTATTACGGTCTCAAGAAGGAAGCCAGACTGGAGATTTCCCCAGCAGAAAAGCACCCTCAGTCTTAACGCTACTGTTTTGGCCGGCGCAGTGGGTTGCTCAGATTTCAGCCCTGGGAATTAACAACTTGGACGTCCACTCAGAGACCTAATTTGAAAGTTGGTAATTACAAAGACGACAGGTGGATAAATTTACAATGATGGGAAGAAACCAGCATAAAAAGGCTGAGAATACTCAAAATCAGAATGCCTCTCCCTCTAAAGAGGATCACAGTTCCTCATCAACAAGGGAACAAGGCTTGATGGAGAACGAGTGCCTTCCATTGACAGAATCAGGCTTCAGAAGGTGGATAATAAGAAACTTCTGTGAGTTAAAAGAACATGTTGTAGCCCAAGGTAAAGAAACTAAGAACTTTGAAAAAAGGTTTGATGAAATCCTAATGAGAATAGACAACTTAGAGAGGAATATAAGTGAATTAATGGAACTGAAGAATACAATATGGGAACACTGAGAAGTATGCACAGGTTTAAACACTTGAATTGATCAAGCAGAAGAAAGGATATCAGAGGTCGAAGACCACCTTAATGAAATAAAATGAGAAGACAAGAATAGAGAAAAATAAGCAAAGTCTCCAAGAAATATGGGACTATGTGAAAAGACCAAATTTACATTTGATAGGTGTACCTGAATGCAACGGAGAGAATGAATCCAAGCTGGAAAATATTCTTCAGGATATTATTCAGGAAAACTTTCCCAAACTAGCAAAGCAGGACTTTATTCAACCCCAGGTAATACAGAGAACACCACAAAGATATTCCTCAAGAAGAGCAACCCCAAGGTACATAATCGTTAGATTCACCAGGGTTGAAACGAAGGAGAAAATACTAAGGGCAGCCAGAAAGAAAGGTCAGGTTACCCACAAAAGGAAGCCTATCAGACTTACAGCAGATCTCTCAGCAGAAACCCTACAATCCAGAAGAGAGTGGGGGCCAATATTCAACATCCTTAAAGAACAGAACTTTCAGCCCAGAATTTCATATCCTGCCAAACTAAGCTTCACAACTGAAGGAAAAATAAAATCTTTTATGAACAAGCAAGTACTCAGAGATTTTATTACCACCAGGCCTGCTTTGCAAAAGCTTCTGAAAGAAGCATTACACATAGAAAGGAACAACCAGTATTAGCCTTTCTAAAAATATACCAAAAAGTAAAGAGCATCAACATAAAGAAGACTTTATATCAACGAATGGA